AACAGAAAAAATATATAAATACTGAAATATATATAGTTTATAAGTGCTCATTTATATAAAATAAATGTGTTTGGTAGTTTATTACATATTATAAGACTTATTGAAGAAAGTGAGAGAATCTCTCAACACGCGACCAAAGTAGTACAAAAAAAAGACGCGACCAACGACGGGATAATAATATGTTATAATAGGTACAATTTAAAAAAATTAAGTTAGGTGCTTATTAGTAGATGTCATCCAACTTATCAATGTTACATATCATATAATATTGGTTAAGACAACATTTTTAACATAAAACATGAATTCAATTAAATTTACATAATTTATAATAATATTAATTTAAACCGTTAAAATTTTAAACTATGACGCGATTTCAAAATATATTACTGCATACCTACTTGAAATACACGTGTGCATAGTGCGTTTAACCTGTGAGATTTCGGTCTTTTTAGGGACTTACTTTTCACCCATGTGCTCAGGGTAACACTGACCACGTCATGACCTATAAACCGCTCCGCGTGTTGGCTCAAGAGTCAGGTCGGTGGAATTTATAGGTTTTTGTACACGCAGTGGTTAATGAAAACCAAAGATTTAAAAAAAAGGGGAAAGAAATATTTTAAATAACAAAATTAGAATTTTAAAGGCAATTATAAGATTTACTTTACTCGGGGCACTAAATTTGCATAGCAAATAATACAAAAAAATTAATAATATCAAAAGGCACATGGCAGTTACATTTTAAATATAATATACATTTTGCACGTGGCAAAGTGCACCAAACAGGGGAAGTAATTAATAATATAAATTTGGCACATGGCAGAATTATAAGGAAAGTAATAGAGAAAAATACGAGAAATAATGCTACGGCTCCGACAAGCGGTTACCGAGCACGGAATGGTAATCATACGTCGGTATAACACATTATACATTTATACGTATTAAAGGAAAAGACCCATGGCTCCGCATGACGGTTACTGGGGCACCTCTTAGRAAAAAAACGGAGCATAAGTAAATAATAAGTTATACCTAGTGATACATGATCAAAATGAAAAAAGGGAAAAGTAATACTTGATTATACCGGAGCAACTTTTAGGAGAACCGGAGTGTAAAAAAAACAGTGGTGATACATAATCAAAATGAAAAACAAGGGGAAGTTGGGGGAAAATAATACTTGACGACTGCTGGTGGCTTGAGATGTTAGTAACCGGTGGCTGCGATGAGCTGCCTCGCGGGGCGTCGATACACCTTATACTCGTGATCGACACGGCCCATCTGCACCAGTTACGTGGAAAATGGTTGTGGATATTAGCCACCGGGCCTTCTACGGCCCCAGATCGTAGACTTAGCCCATCATGGCATCGGTGAACATCAAAAAAAAAATAGAAGACACAGGAACGTCAGGAACACCAAATGTTGACTGCGTGGTATTTGACGTTGACGGACGGATCGGCGGACTTGACCAGTTGGACGTGCACTTAAGTCGGTGGTCATGAAAAGAGTGTCGAGACGTCGGCAGACGGCTCGGCTTACGGTCACCGTTGTCGAAATGTTGATAGAGTGGGACGTGTGCAGTGTCACTTTTTGCGGGGATTTACAATATTATTGGCTTCAGACGTCTTGTCAGCATGTACCGGCGGACGTGACCGTATCGCTGACAGCGCAGGTAACCACAGCCACTAAGACAGGTCGCCGGACACTACGTTGAGAGGGGTTGGGGGACAGTGATTATATAACATGACTATTGTTCGTCTTAAGCAGATAACACACTAGGCGATTCGAACGCGCGTTTCGAACGTCGCGATTAATCGCCCAAAATTAAACATATACTTTTACATAGGCTTATTCACACACGTAAATGAGACGCGC